TTTGATGTTGGTGAAAGTAGACGCCACTGAGCTTGATACTTTTGTTCTAGTATCCCAAAGGAAAAGAGTTCTGGGCATGACCTGGTACTTTACACCCCTGCTGAAAGTTCTGGAAGGCTTTCTACCAGACTCTGTGACACATGGGGTTTTGATCTTCATGTCCAAAAATTGCGCCCAGATAATCATCCTGGATTTAATGTTATTTCCCTGGTGTATGTGTGTATATGTTCTGCTTGCTGGTATGTTTATTCTGTTTGTTCTGCTTTTATTTTTTTTCAGCTGAGGGCATTTTTTAAGTTGGTTGGTTTGTTTTTTATGTGAACAGATTATAAAACAAGCTGAAGGGAGTCATGGGATCTGGGCATGTGAGTTCAATTCCTTGAACAGTCTGTTTTTAATCTCATGTAAGTTTCTAGAAGTTTAGAGATTGAAATAATGTGTTTTGGGGGGGCATGTGAATCATGACTGGACTTCTTGGTGGTTTTAATAGAACAAGTTTCTTAAAATTGGAATGCCAATCATTCATTAGTACAGAGGGTCTTCATCTGGAACTAGGCAGGGGGCTCGAGGTCCTTGAACCTTCTGAGATTGTACACGCATTTTCTCTGCACATTTGAATGTGTCTATGTTTTTTCCCCTTTTTCTGGAAAGAGAGAGTCATTGCTTTTTATCAGATTCTTAAAGGACTCTAAGACAAAAAGGCTTAAGAACTGACTTAGGATTTCAGTCATGTTAATTCATTAGTATTTTTTAATCTTTCTAAAGAAAAAATAGAGACAAAATCATCTCAATCACTGTATAAATTATGTCTTTATTTCTTTATATGTATGTGTGTATTCATTCCTATTTGATCTTGGACTAATTAAATCCATCTAATTGATGAATAGATGGAAAATGCCTGCCTCCAAAAATTTCCTTCCCTTCCTCTCCATCTCTGTCTGCTACTCATTTAAAATTTATTATCTTCCCACGTCCAAAAAGGATTTGGAATTGTATTCTTCTTTCAAGGCATATCAAATTCTTCCTCGTTTGTGAACTCTCCTGAATGTAATCTTGCTTTCCTCTGAAACACCGCAACAATATTCTGTCAGAGTGAGTTTATGCTTATTTGTGGGTTTGTCTTTTCTTGTCATTCTTTTCCCTCACCTTTCTTCTGGCATTAGGTTGTCACTTCCACGTGGGAGTCGAAGGGGGTGATTGGACTGACTTGTATATCACAGCCCAAGAACTGACAAGAGCTGTTTCATGGTGGTGACTCAATAAATGTTTGAATTAAAGCAGGGAGGATCTTCATTCCATATACTATAAAATTAAAATCATAGTCTCAGAATTAATACATTTTTTGCATATATGTTTATTTTTGAGTATCTTAAAACCATTGGTACATCCAAACCAGCATAATGCTTTTATTTTCCAATACTGCTGAATTAGGGCCCAAATGCCTCAGAAGTGAAGACGAATTCTTGTTTTCAGATATATCATAATAACATAAAATGTGAGGCTGATGGTTGCCATATTTGAGCAAGAGTGTTCTGAGTTGTACAGTACCTGTGACTAGGAACATGAAATGTCAGAGCTGGCAGGAACTGAGGTCTAGCCCAGTGTGCTCCTTGGAGCCTCCAGAGTTTCATTGGGAGGTTTTTGGGGATGTGGGTAGGAGCCCTACTCTCTCACCAGAACAGCTCTGTTTTTAGTTGTTTTATCTTGGAGTTTTGGAATAAGATTAAATTTGCTAAAAGTGTTCTGCTGAAATTAACCAAACTTTCCTCTCACTCCCCTCTAGCTGGCCTCTCATTCTACACCTGTGGACACAGAGTGTGATTGCCTCTGGTCGTGTGCTCAGGACAGCCCAGCTGGGACCAAACCCAGTCTTGACTGTCCTGACTCCTGATTCAGAATCCTCTCCTCCTACTTTGCTGTCCCTCAAATTTTCCTCCACTTTATAGGTGTCACTAGGGGCTCAAGAAACATTGAGTGGGAGCTGTGTCAGGTTCTGAAGATGCAAAGAAGGGGGAGACATGATGCAGGAACCTGATTTATGGAGAGTGGTAGTTGACAGTAGCCACTGGCACCAGGATCTCCTCCTTTTATCTAAAATTGGTACTTTCTAGATAATTCTGTGTCTAATGCCTCACACATAAAATGACATGGCTATGTGATGAAAGTGTTCTAAAACTGGGTTATAGGGATGGACACACAACTGTATTTATTAAAACTCTTCAAACTATACAATTAAAATGGGTGCATTTTATGGTGTTTAAATTGTATGTCATTAAAGCTGTTCAAAAAAACCCGCAGAGGTACACCTGTCCTCCTTAACTTATAGGAAACTATGGGCATAAAACAAAATGGCCCCATGAAACATTTTAAAGGCATGCTAGTACTTTCTTGTAAATGTCTTCTCACGAGGTTGGTTACAGGTCAATTCCATACTCATTTATTGAGTCTCTGCTGTGGACCAGGTCTTGAGGTAGCAAGGGAAGAGTTTGATGGAAAGGGAATGACAAGGATGCATATCAAGAGGCTTTTTTGGGAGGAGGCAGGAGTGTTTTGGAGGAGGTAACTGGAAGTGTCCTCTTTCTTTTACTGAGTTCCTTCATGTCAGGGCGCCTTCTGCTTTGAGTGATAAATACCTACCTGACCACAAAGTAGTGGTAAGCAATAAAATTTTATTACGTCGGGTAACAAGAGATCCAGAGACAGGCCCTCCTGAAGTTGGTTAATTTGACAGACGTCTCAACAGTGTCAGGGCTCAGGGTCACCTCCTCTGTGATTTTCTTGGCTTTCCTCTCATGGTTGAACTATGAATGCAACAGTGCCAAACATTATACCGTCCTCCAACAAGGATGAAACAATGTTAAAAGCAGAAAGACAGGGGCAGCTATTTTCCTAACATCTCTTTTTTTTTTTTATCAGGGAACAAAATCTAACAGCCTCCCCACCAGCAAATTTCCTCTCACATCCCATTGGCTGGAAGTAGGTTACATGCTCACCCCTAAACCAATCACTGGCAAAGGGGAGTGTGAATATTATTTGCCGAGACATCTTTCACTCATCCCTAGGGCTGTGGGAGGGTTCCCCATTCCTGAATGTAATGCCTGAACACATCAGAATTCTGTGAACCAGGAAGGGAATGAGGAATTGCTGCTGGGAAGTTAACCAACAGCATCTACGACCACACTTAACTTTTTTTGGACAGAAAGCAATAGATACATGACTTGTTCCTTTTCTTTGTTGGCCACAGGTGTCATGTCTTCTTTGTAAAACTTCTCCATGATTTCAATCTAAAGAATTATTCTTAAAGCTGAGACTCTCCTAGGCAGTTCTTCAATAATACTGTATTTCTTTCAGTGTTGTAAGTTTTGAGTTTGGGTACTCATATTTCACTAGCACAGTCAATAGGAAAATTGGTGAGGAGCTGTCATTATCCAATTTAAAGATGCTTAACTTTTTCCCTCCCTTTAGAACATTTGGCAGATTCAGTATTTGGGAGGTTTGCTATTACTAATTAAAGAGAGATGGAACGTTGGTAACTATGTGGGCTGAGGAATATGGAGACAGGTTGGTATTGATGGCATTTGGAACTAGTGCCCCTCAGCACGGGTTAATGAGCCCAAGGCATCAGGGGCCCAGAGTATCTGAGACGGAAGGTTTCTAGCTCTAGGATAGGGGATGTAACTGATACCTTCCAGCCATGGGACAGAAAACAGAAACATCTGCACAGAAACAGAGTGAGTCCCTCTAGTTCCCTCTCCCCCTTGCTTTCACCTCCCCTCCCCCCGTCACATCTCAACCTTAGACCACAGTGTGTCTGTATTATAGATTTTTTAATTGCTTTGATTTTTTATATCACTCTCTTTGATGTGACATTAACCATAATTTAAAAAACCACATTTCAGTGATATAAATTGTACCAGGACAATATAATTGATACTTACATAGATAGCTCTAGGTTATGATCTGTCTGCAGAAACTGACCTAAACTTTGGGAAATACCTAAGGCCATTCAAAGCCATTAGGATTGTTGGCTTTGATGCAGAATAATAAATGCCTGTCCCGGTAGACACTAATTCCCTTGGATTTTTCTTTCCATCTTCTTTCCCGAGTCATCAAACCCCAGTTTTCCAACTCTTGATTTCCCAAATACCTTACAAATGCTTTCGCTGTCTTCTAAACTGGTGCTTTTCTGTAAATGGAGAAGATTTAACATCAGACAGACTTTCAAAAGCATATGATTCAGGACATATTTGAACTCGTTTTGAGTGGCCTTCATGTTTTTCCCTCTTTGCTGAGGTCTGGTGCCTGTCCTTGCTGATGAAACAGCCCCATCTATGAACAGGCAGGTTCCCACAGAGAGGCCATGGGACATACTCGAATGAGTTTACTCCCCACGTGTGTGTATGTAAAGAACATTTTGTCAGTATTTGTTGGCTGTTTGAGGTTGACACATGTTCACATACAAATACATCTACAGCTCTCTCTTAAGTTGTTTCATAATGGAGCTTTTTCATTGTTTTGAGTACCATGTTGACTTTATAACATACACAAATGTCCTGTTTCTGATGTAGTGATGTGTGGAAGAAGGCAGTGAGAGCAAGATTTAAGCTTTTTGCTCTTTATAGGTTATGTCTGCTTACTCGTGTACCTGAAAAGTGTATAAAATAGCCTATAAAATAAAGACTAGATAAAATATACACGTCTATTTTCCTGAGACCAAGGAAACCTTTTTGCTTTTATGCTTGAGAGAAGTGAGGCAGTCAATGGCATTTCATGACGTCACATGATTTGAGAGGGGAAAAAAATGAAGAGAATACATATGCATGAGCCCAAAATGAGCAATTGGAGGTAGTTTTCTGAGAGTGACCCTTTCTTTATGCAGTAGTTATATCCTATCTGTTAAGGGTGTTTTCCCTGAAGTTAATGTGATAGAGAACATCGTCTTCTGGGCCAGCTCATTAGATAAAGCATTATAAAGGTTGTGTTTTCTTTTCTTCTTACAGGCAAGGATTACTGCAAAGTAATATTTCCGTACGAGGCACAGAATGACGATGAATTGACAATCAAAGAAGGAGATATAGTCACTCTCATCAATAAGGTAAACAAAGTTCCCTCTTGCCTTCTAAACTGTGAACCACTTTGGGGTGTTGACTGGATAGTACAAGCTTTTGTTTTAGCCCTTGAAACACTTGATTTTTCTGGTCCTGAACTCTTGAGGAAGAGTCTTTCATCTTTCCTCTTGATCAGGCTAAGTCCAATGTATCCAGGTAAATGAATGAACTTGAAAATCAAATTGATTCTGCTGGCCTTGGAGCCAGATGCAGATTTGCGTGGCCCTGCAGAAAAAGCGTGTCCCAGAAGGGCTAACCTGGAAGGCAGCCTCCTTGGCTGGAGAGCCGGGCCTCCACAGCAGCCCTGGCTGCAAAGCTCCGGGTCATGAGGTTTTCAAGGAGGGGCTTTAAAAAGCCTCACAGGCAGAAAACACTTGAAGAATGTTTGCTGTTCAGATCAAAGACAGCATGCCTGAGAGAATTTTGCCTGTCTTGTTTGGGCTAAGAAGGCTGGACAATTTTATTATCATTACAGACAGCGCCCTGTAAACATAGAGAGAGCTATAAAATCTGTGTGAAGTGAGCAACTTAACAGGGCCTGGACCATGTACTGTTTATGTTTTCATGCAATGGTACTCACCAAGTAGGTGGTTGAAAGATATATTATTTAGGCGATTCCTAGAATATATGGCCTTTTCTCTGAAGTACAGGGTTTTTATGATGGTCGAATATGATGGAAAGCTAAACAGCCTTTAAGATGGGTGAGGTGGTTTTTTTCTTGTATCCGAGTGAGTGGCGGGGAAGGAGGAATTCCCTTGCACAAGTGTGACTAGGAGATCATCCTGGCTGCCTGTCCCTTGTGCAGGGTGGGAAAGCATTGGCAAGGTGAAGGATGCAGGCAAAGGGGAGAGAGACTGGGGGTTAGGTTGGGAGATGGGCCCTGGGTCCCACTGCCTCTGACCATTACTCGGGGTGGGGGGCGATGGTGCTGCCTGCCCCCCCATCCCACACCCCCAAGTTTGTCCATAAAGTGATCAGTGGGATTTACCTTTATAATCAAGGATGTTTGCCTTTGGGGAATGTTTGTGCGTTTTCAGAGCCTGAGCCAAAGATGCCGGGGAACTAATGACCCCAGAGGTTAAGTGGCTTGCCAAAGGTCAGATTATTTTAGGGTGAGAGCTGGCCCTCTCAGCCACTCTATATGAAAGTGGGCTAGACAGTGCTAAGAGCGCCTTTCTGGAAGAGCAAACTATTCCCTGCTGTCTGATTGCCCAAGAGCTCGTCCATCTTTTTACCTGTAAACTATTCTCCCCTGAACTTACTGCAGTATATCTCTGTAGGTGTTAGATGTGGCAGGAGGAAATCGGAGGAGGGGAAATGCTGCCCTTCCTGTTCCTTCCTGCCTAGGAGGCTGAGCGGTTTGTCTCTTTCTTGACCACCCTTCTCCCCATCCGTCCGCGCCTCCTTCAGGCTGCTGCTCCGCATGGTGCATTTCCTGTTTTGAATCAGACCCTTAACCAAACACGTGGAATAAGGAAGTTGTTAAATGGGTGTGAAGCATAATACAGACACTTTGATAATTAGCACAGACATTTGGCTGGACTCCTGCAGGGTAGGGGTAGAGCGCTTTCCCTGGTAATGGTGAAGCAACCAGAGAATTGACTAACTGCCATTCGTTGCAAGGAGGGGGGACTCGCTTTCTTCTTTTTGTTTTTGTTTGGAGGGAGGCAGCCTCTTTTTAATTGAAAACCAGATATATCAGTAATATTCCTTAGGTTTTGGGAAAAGAAAAAACCACCATGGATGGTCTCTTATCTGAACACGTGTGTTTCTACCTTAACGTGTTATATTCCAGTGCTTGTCGTTTGATTACGTGTGATGAGAACACATTCATCTTGATGATTTCATTCCTACCTCCCAGCCCGAGACCCAGTCTGATAAAAAGAATCAGATTTTTCTAAACAGCTTAGTCAGAAAGGGGCTCTCTCCTGGTCCCATCCATACAGTAGGGAAAGAGGAACAGGCAGATGTGACAGGCTGCTTTCAAGAGTGTCCTGAGAGTTGCACATGATTTCCCTGGTTTCATAGCTTAATGTATTTAGAAGCAGTTTGGAAACTGTGAAGCAGCTTGCGGATATTACTATTACATTTGCAAAATGGGCACTTGTCATCCTCGCTGTGCACCTGGCCTCTTGACCTGACTTGCACACAAATCCTGCTCCTCAGGCATGGGGTGCCTCCTCTGGTCTCGCCCTGCCCCCACTCCCCAGCCCAGCAGCACCAGAAGCTAGACATTCTGCCTTCCTGTGTCCCTGCCACTTCCTGTCCGTGGTAGAACCAGGCCCAGGCTGGTTTGCACCTCCCCTGGCCGAGTGAGCAGAAAGCTGGGCCTCCTCCCTCCTCCTTTCTCCAGCACCTTCTACAGCACCTGCTTGGGAGGAGAGCCCGGGAGTGGTCAAAGGTGGAGGGGTGCTTCATACCTAGCACCGTGGCCCCTTCTTTTCATCATCCCATAACAGCACTTTGCCCCTGTCACCCCTCTACTCCAACAAAAGCCTTTAATGACTTTCCTCTCCTTTATTGTAAAATCCAGCTAGATTATCCTCGCATGCCCTGGCAGTCTGGCCACAGTCTGGCTTTCTGGCCTTGGTCCCCATCGCTGTTGTACATGAACTCTCCCGGGACATCCCCATCCTGCTCGTGCGTCCTCCCTAACTTGACCCAGACCATGTTCTTGCTGCCTTGGAGGCCCTCTGCCTACCCACTTAGCTGGTTTGTCAGTAACTAATAATACAGCCAGTCTTAACTCATGCTGCATCCTGTGCTTGGGCCCATTTTGAACTCGTTGCTTAAAAAAGGTCCCTTAGGCTCTATCATTTTGTTTTTATTATTATTTTATATGATCTGTGAAATCAGGTCTCTTGATATCCTGTATTCCTGCAGATTTTGACTTTTATTCTCATAAAATATCTGCCAGCCTTGACCCAGCATTCCGGTTTGTTGGAAGTAGCACATTAAAATGATAATTACTACATAGACTACCAGCTCAGAGAAACCAGGGTTTGAACCCCAGCTCCACCATTGCTGGCTGTGTGTCTTTGGGCATGCCACTTAACCCCTCTGAGCCTCAGCTTCCTCAGCCATAAAGCCGACCTCATAGGACTGCTGTCAGGATTTACAAAGATGCTGTGTATAAAGTGCCCCTCACAAGGAGGGACCCACCAGTGGTACCTGTAATCCTAGGAATTGTCACTTCAACGTTGGCTGCTCTTTCTCTGACCTCGGAAATGGGAATGTCAGGGGTATTGTGGCTGGGCCCAGTTTGCTGCTGGGGCTGGAACGCCATGATATGAAGTAGCTAACAATGGTGAAAAGTCTACCTAAAATAGGTGAGAATTCACAATGGGTGAGATTTCAGCCAGAATTTGGAAAGAAAACATGACATAAATATTTGGCCTGCTGAAAATGTGAAAAATGGAGTCTGAGTCCAGCAAAGCCTGCTGACGTAGAAAAGTCTTACCTTTTGCTCTGAGTTAAGGGATCACTGAGAAGTTCATTTAGATGACTGCATATTATTCATACTGTAAAGTGAATATTTTCATCATGATTTGTTTAGTATGCATTTTGATATGCTGCTTTATTGTATGTATGAGTTGAGATGAAAAACTTGAATTGCTGTTCTCTAAATTTGATTGCTTTTGCTGTAGAGATTCTCAATTTACCCCAATTTCTGGCGGTGTTTTTGTTTTATAGTCAGTTAAGGTGGTTTCCCTTTGCTCTGCTTTTCTGGGCTGTGGCAGGAGTCACAGGGAAGGCATTGCCCTCATTTTTAGCCCCAGATTGTCACTTTATGTAGCTTTCTAGAAAATGAGTCAGACACCTTTAGTGGTACCTATGAGCCCTCCGCGGTTCCTGAAATAATGTGCAAAGAACCAAACTATTTGTGTGTGCCTCTGGAAACTAGGATGAAATGTGGCAACCCGAATGGTTTGTTTTTTAGTTTATTTATAAAGAATTCTTGTGGATTTGGGAACATTTCCACTTGTGTGGAACACACCTGTGTTTAGCTTTTATTTCTAGTCATTCAAAAATAGCTCCTTCATCTGTGTTCCTGCCGCCCCCATCCCTGCCTTCCTGATTTGTGCTCAGAGCGTGTTTGAAAGGGTTCAGAAGCCTCTGGGTCTGGTTTCCAACCAGAGAAGCTCCCGAGAGAAGGGCTGAGCGCAGCCTGGTGGGGTCAGGCCAAGGCTCAGCTGTGACGGTGGCCGCCCTTGAAGGATGTTCCTTGCCAGGCCGGTGCCGCTTGGGGCAGAGTGAGCCCAGCTTTGGAGAGGGACGATGTTCCTGCCCTTGGCCAACAGCCTCCTGGCCTCAGAATGATGGCCCTTCCCTCCCAGCCCCCTCACCTGGGAGGAAGGGCTTCCCATGTGACCTCTTTGTAAACAAGGATCTTTAGGTATTTCTTATAAAAGGGCTCCCCTGAGTAGCTGTGTCTTTGACCCTTAACAAAGCAGACATAACCCCCTGTTTCTTCATGGGTATAAGCGTATTTGACAGCATCGAGGTAAACACTAAGAAAGATAGTATTATTGACTAAAATCGTGGAGCAGTAGAGATGGAGTGAAGGGGAAAGAGACAGTATAAGCCAGCGCTGATGTTTGGGGAAGGAATCCAATGGATGCTCCCTAAAGAAAGAGGGAACACAGAGGATTAGCTAAAGGTAGGAGTATAAGGTGACCACACCAAAAATATAAACTAGGAGTTTCACCTTTTCCTAAGGATGTATCAAACCAAGGACCCCAGGTATTTGGAGCTAGACCTGCTGAGAGGTCAGAGTTAGGACCGAATACCAACTAACCCCCAGCCTCCTGCATCTTGACCTCAACGGGTTTTCCTCCCTCCTTTCCTAGACAACAGTTGAGCATTTAACTTAATAGTTGTTCGATCTACCAGCATGAGCACCTTCCCAGTGCAGGACCCTTCTGGGCCACTGGCAGCAAGAGCCCAAGACTTCGTATCATCTTCCTCTTCCCTCACGAGTCTCTCT